AAATGGGCGAATACAGTAAACTGGTACCAGGTAGTGGGGTACTACTGTAAAGATGTCAAAAAAATATGGAAGCAACTTTGGAACTGGGTAACAGACAGAAGATGGAACAGTTTGCAGGGCTCAGAATAAGACAGGAAAATGTGGGAAAGTTTGGAACTTCCTAGAGACTTGTTGAATGGCTTTGACGAAAGTACTAATAATGATATGGACAATGAAATCCAGGCTGAGGTGGTCTCAGATGGAGATGAGGAACTTGTTGGGAACTGGAGTAAAGATGATTCTTGCTATGTTTTAGTAAAGAGACTGGTGTCATTTTGCCCCTGCCCTAGAGATTTGTGGAACTTTGAACTTGAGGGAGATGATTTACTGTATCTGGTGGAAAAAAGTTCTAAGCAGCAAAGCATTCAAGAGGTGACTTGGGTGTTGTTAAACACATTCAGTTTTTTTTTTTGAGACGGAGTTTTGCTCTTGTTACCCAGGCTGGAGTGCAGTGGCATGATCTCAGCTCACTGCAACCTCCGCCTCCTGGGTTCAGGCAATTCTCCTGCCTCAGCCTCCTGAGTAGCTGGGATTACAGGCATGCACTACCATGCCCAGCTAATTTTTTGTATTTTTAGTAGAGACGGGGTTTCACCATGTTGACCAGGATGGTCCCGGTCTCTTGACCTCATGATCCACCCATCTCGGCCTCCCAAAGTGCTGGGATTACAGGTGTGAGCCACCGTGCCCGGCCAAACACGTTCAGTTTTAAAAGTGAGCTAGAGCGTAAAAGTTCAGAAAATTTACAGTTTGATAATACGATAGAAAAGAAAAACCCATTTTCTGAGGAGAAATTCAAGCTGGCTGTAGAAATTTGCATGTCATGAGTACCCCAATGTTAATCCCCAAGACAATGAGGAAAACGTCTCCAGAGGATGTCAGAAATCTTTGCAGCAGCCCCTCCCATCACAGGCCCAGAGGCCTAAGAGGAAAAAATGGTTTCCTGAGCCAGGCCCAATGCCCCACTCTGGTGTGCAGTCTAGGGACTTGGTGCCATGTATCCCAGCTGCTCTAGCCATGGCTAACAGGGGCCAAGGCACAGCTCAGGCCATGGCTTCAGAGAGTGAAAGCCCCAAGTCTTAGCAGCTTTCATGTGTGGAGCCTGTAGGTGCACAGAAGTCAAGAATTGAGGTTTGGGAACCTCTGCCTAGAATTCAGAGGATGTATGGAAATACCTGGATGTCCAGGCAGAAATTTGCTGCAGGGTGGGGCCCTCATGGAGAACCTCCGCTAGGGCAGTGGTTCTCAGTGCCCTTCCACACAGAGTCCCTACTGGGGCACTGCATAGTGGAACTGTGAGAAGAGAGCCACCATCCTCCAGACCCCAGAATGATAGACCCACTGACAGCTTACACCATGCACCTTGCAAAGCTGCAGACACTCAACACCAGCCTGTGAAAGCAGTTGGGAGGGAGGCTTTACCCTGTAAAGCCACAGGAGTGGAGCTACCCAAGACCATGGGAACCCACCTCTTGCATCAGCATGACCTGGATGTGAGACATATAGTGAAAGGAAATCATTTTGGAGCTTTAAGATTTGACTGCCCTACTGGATTTTGGACTTGCATGGGGCCTTTAGCCCCTTCCTTTTGGCAAATTTCTCCCATTTGGAATGAATATATTTATCCAATGCCTGTACCCCCATTGTGTTTAGGAAGTGACTAACTTGATTTTGATTTTACAGGCTTATAGGAGGAAGTGACTTGCTTTGTCTCAGATGAGATTTTAGACTATGAGCTTTTGTTTTGTTTCTTGAGATAGAGTCTTGCTCTGTCACCTTGGCTGGAGTACAGTGGTGTGATCTTGGCTTGCTGCAATCTGTGCCTTTCAGGTTCATGTGATTCTCCTGCCTCAGCCTCCTGAGTAGCTGGAACTATAGGTGCATGCTAATTTTTGTATTTTTAGTAGAGATGGGGTTTCACTATGTTGGCCAAGCTGGTCTTGAACTCCTGACCCAGAAGAGACTCAGAAGAGACTCTTGCCTATAAACTTTTGCATTAATCCTGATATGAGTTAAAACTCTGGGGTACTGTTGGGAAGGTCTAATCGGTTTTGAAGTGTGAGAGCATGAGATCTGGAAGGGGCCAGGAGCAGAATGATATGGTTTGGCTGTGCCCCACCCAAATCTCACCTTGATTTGTAGCTCCCATAATTTCCACATGTTGTGGGAGGAACCAGTGGGAGATCATTGGATCATGAGGCAAATTCCCCCATGCTGTTCTCATGATAGTGAGTGAGTTCTCTCAAGATCTGATGATTTTATAAGGGGCTCTTCCTCCTTGCGTTTGTCTGCCCTCTCTCTTTCTCTTGCCTGCTGCCATGTAAGACATGCCTTTCACCTTCTGCCATGATTGTGAGGCTTCCCCAGCCACATGAAAGTGTGAGTCCATTAAATCTTTTTCTTTCTAAATTACTCAGTCTCAGATATGTCTTTATTAACAGTGTGAAAATGGACAAATACAGACCCCATTTATATTTTCTTCATTGAATTTATCTGTTTGAAAGTATATATTTGCATGATTATTTGAATAAGATCCATCTCAGCCAAGCACAATGGCTCATGCCTGTCATCCCAACACTTTAGTATAGGGTTCCAGCCCTGCAGGGTCCTGTGAGTCCCTCTCTACAGGTGTGGAGATAAGAAAGCAGGAAAATAAAGACACAAAACACACAGATAGAGAAAAGAGAGTTTGGGTCCAGGGGTCCACTGCCAACCAAGGCGTGGAGTCCAGCAGTGGCCCTGAGTACCTGGACACTTTTTATTGAGCACAAAGCAGGGGCAGGGTAGGTAGGTTGAGGTAAAGGTGGTCGATGATAGGGTCAGGTGAGTCACGTGTCTTGCAGACGGGCTCAGGATTTTCAAGAAGCGGAGGTGAGGAGGAAACCTAATGCGTCAGCACTTTTTTCATATTTGTCAAGAATGTCAAGGACGTTAACATTTATGTTACTATTACTAATTCTTATCTTAGAAGAGAGGAACCACGTGCAGAAGCAGAACATGAAAGTAGACATGGAGTGTGACCGCGGAAGCACAGCATCACACAGAGACAGTTAAGCCCCTGGATGCCTGCGGGCCTCCCTGGCAGCCCACCAGGCCTATGGCAAGAGCTTGGAAGAGTGGAATTTTCTCCTGACTCCCCCGAGGAAGGAGACGTCTCTGCCATTTTGGACATCTCCTTCCCTAGCTGGCTAAACATTGGGCGCTTTCACAGCGCCGGCTCTGCCGCACAGCCGTGGCGCCCTCCAGCAGCCCTTATGCAGGCATGACAGAGGGCTTAGAGCAGCTTGCCTTAGGGTCACCTCTATCCCAATGCCACTTCAGTTCCATACTTCACGACCTGAGACTTATTAGTAAAATTAAAGATTATATGATTGTGCGTGTGTGTGTATATATATATATATATATATATATGTATATTTATGATTACATGTGCATAGCTATGTGATTATTTATGATTATATATAGGAATAACTATGTAACTATATCTCTAATTCTTTTCTAATTCAATATTTTTATGAGAGCAGACTGAGGCCTCAGACCCTTGCCTCAGCTCTTGCAGGGTTCCCCCCTACACTTTGGGAGGTTGAGGTGGGTGGATCACTTGAGCCCAGGAGGTTGAGACCTGCCTGGGCAACATTGTGAAACCTCATCTGTACAAAAAAATACAAATAATTAGCCAGGTGTGTGGTGGTGCCTGTCTGTAGTCCCAGCTACCCAGGAGGCTGGGGTGGGAGGATGAGCCTGGGAAGCTGAGGCTTCAGTGGGCCATGATTGCACCACTGCACTTCCACCTGGGCAACAGAGACCTTGTCTCAAAAAAAAAAGACCCACCTCTGCTCCAGACTCTAAGCTCCTCGAGGCGAAGGATGGCTCTGCTCACCATGGATTCCAGTCCAAGTAGAGTCTGGCACAAAGTAGGCACCTGGACTGCTCCCTCCATGAAAGGGGAGGAGTGGAGTGGGGTTCCTGAGAAATCTCCAGTTCCGAAACAAGTCATGGCCCTGGGTCGGGAGTCATGGGCTATTGCAAGCAATGGGAATTGTAGCTTTGGTTGGAATTATAGCTCAGTGTGGGCACATTGGTGGCTTCTCGCTGTCACTTGAGTATATCTTTCATTAGTGAAAGAGGAGGATACGTTTACTAGGATTAAATCAATCCACACTGATTTCACCAAGTCATTGAGCTCTTGGGGTGAAAAATGAAAGCTCTTCCTGTGAGGCCACAAGGTGGCAGCACAGAGCAGCAAGTCAAAGAGCGCCCAGTTTAGCTCCCTTCTGGAGAGGACCGGATGAGGACACTGGTCTAACCTCCTGGGGCAGGAACTAAGAAGCCTGGGCTCTGCCATCTTCGGCTTTAGCAAGGATGACAAGAGACAGACACTTAGCTGCCTGTGCCCCCACTTATCTACCCCTACAGTTGGAATAATGGAATTATTCCGTTCCTACTTCCCTTTCCATTCATTCATTCATTCATTTATTCATCTTTGAGCAAACATCCAGAGACCCTTATGTCCTGGCTGGGCACTGGGGACACAGTGAGTACAATCAGCCCTGCCCCTCCATGGTGTGGGAAGTGCTCTGACTGATCATTGGGCAAGGTGTGAGAGTCGAGAGTCGCAAGGCAGGGCAGGAGGAGCCTTGGGTGTGGCAGGACATGGGTGGAAGCCCAGGGAACTCCCACAGAGGGGCAGGGTGGGGTGGGGTGCTGGTATAGGCAGCAGAGGCTGCTGTGCAGCCAGGGAAGAGGGAGAGAAGCCACAGATGGTGGCTCAGGGTGGCTGCAGTCCGAAGGGGAGGAGAGGGAGGTGGGAGAGGGGCTGGAGAGGTGGCAGGGGCCAGGTCACAGAAACTTTCAGATTAAGGTGCTTGGCCTGTTTCCTTTGGAGGGTGTGAGGTCGCTGAAGAACAATGTTGAGGGCTTTGTGAGGAGAGAGGGAGACAGACCTTCAGCATTGAGCCAGGATACCAGCAAGAAGATGGGGTCACTCTGAGGTTACTGCGTCATCAGTCTTGGGCTAAGTAGTTGGCACCTGGAAGCAAAAATGTTAGAAAATAGAGCCTTCCTGGGGGTTTTCTGTAACACAGAGGCTACTTGGGCAAGATCAAATGGTAAACACGCTGTGTGTGTGTGCACACGTGGTGTGCATGAACATGTGATGGATGGATAGCCCCCATCCTTCCCTCTGGTAGCCTGTGGCCGCCCGAGTGTGTCCAGGGAGGAGCAGAGCAAAGCCCCTCCTCCCTGCTCATCAGAGCTGCCCCAGGCTTGAACACTGGGGTAAGTAAATGCAGGACAGACAAGTATGCTTACTGCCAGGGAAGAGAAACTGGGCCTTGGTAATAGACTTGGGTCTGACCCCCAACTCCACCTTGAACTACCTGGGAGACCTTGGGCGAGACTCTGCACCTCTCCGAGCCTCAGTTTCCTGTCCGATTTAATGAGGAAATTGAATCTACTTCATGAATTGTTGAGAAGCACCCAGCCCATGGTAGATCTCTAAATATGGGTAGTTTCCCACCCCTTCATTCTCCCCCACCCTCACCCTCTCTGACGATACTGGCAGCCAGCCAGGTGGTGACTCAGGGAGACTGTGACTAATGCAACTCAGCTGAGGCATGATGTTCAAATCAGCCCAACAGAATGGGCTGACCTCCATTGGGCCCTGATGGGGAGGTTTGGAGATCTGTAAGCTCCTTGAGACTCTGGTCTTCCAGGAGTCTGGTGCTGGGCTTTGCACTCCCTCCCCAACCCTAAGAGCTTTTAGGGAGTTATTTTCAAAGCTACCTTTGGTGTTCATTTTAGGAAACTAAGGGGAAAAGAGACAAATTCCGAGGTCCTATTATGTAGGCACTGCAGTAAAAGGGCACGTACAGACCTCCTGACCACCCAGGATGAAGGTGCTGTTAAAACCCAATTTAAAGAGGAAATGGATTGTTATTTTTATTTATTTATTAATTTTGAGACAGAATCTTGCTCTGTCACTCAGGCTAGAGTACAGTGGTGCGATCTCAGCTCACTGCAAACTTTGCCTCCTGGGTTCAAGCAATTCTCCCTGCCTCAGCCTCCCAAGTAGCTGGGATTACAGGTGTGCACCACCATGTCCAGCTAATTCTTTTTTATTTTTAGTAGGGGCAGAGTTTCACCATGTTGGCCAGGCTGATCTTGAACTCCTGGCCTCAGATGATCTACCCAACTTGGCCTCCCAAAATGCTGGGATTACAGGCGTGCACCACCATGTCCAGCTAATTCTTTTTTATTTTTAGTAGGGGCAGAGTTTCACCATGTTGGCCAGGCTGATCTTGAACTCCTGGCCTCAGATGATCTACCCAACTTGGCCTCCCAAAACGCTGGGATTATAGGCATGAGCCATGGCGCCTGGCTTAGAAGAGGAAATTGAGATGCAGAGAGGTGAAGGTGTATCACTGGTAGGATAGTCCAGCTGGTGAGGGATGGAATCACAATTGAAATGCACATCTGACCACAATGCCTCTGTTTCTAACCCAGAGCCTGGCTCTTTGAAATCAGGACCTCTGAGAGGAAGAAGAGCCTGCCCACCCTTGCCTGCTTTCATTTTGCTGCAAAGTTAATCAAGGCCCAGAGAGGGCAAGTGGCTTGCAAGGTTACACAGCAAGCTATGTGGTGTAGCCCATACACCCCATTCGACTGCCATACTCTCCCACCTCCTAGTCTTAGACAATTGTCATTAAAGATTTTGTATACTTTTAACTGTGAAGAGAGCCCTCTTCCCCTCACTACCAGCCTCAAGGAATGCAGAGAAAGGACCCAAGAGGGTGAAGAGGAGTACTTGGCAGGGAGCGATGGGAGAGGAATGAGGCACTTCCTTGGTTTCTGGAAAGGAGAAATGACAGCGCTTTTTCTTCTTGCCTTCTTAATGAGAAAGCTTTCATAACAAACTGGTGGCTTCTCAGTGTGTCTGCAGCTGCTTCAGGTTATGTGGAGATTATCTGCGCTGCACACAGTGGCATCAAGGTGATAATGTCTGTGCAACACACCCACTGAGTCTGCCAGGCAGGGTGGTTCTACATCATCAGGGTGCACAGGGACCAGCCTAGCAGAGGCATGGTTGGGTGCCAAACTTGGGGTACTTAAAAAAAATAGCTCCCTTATGACTCAGTGTGGTGGCTCACACCTGAAGGCCTAGCACTTTGGGAGGTTGAGGTGGGAGGTTTCTTGAGGCCATGAATTCAAGACCAACCTGAGCAATATCATATAGTAAGACTCCATCTCCATGACTTAAAAAAAAAAAAAATTCTTCACATATTACTTCTCCCTTTTTTTTTTTTCCTTTTAGATGGAGTCTCCCACTGTCACCTGGGCTGGAGAGCAGAGATGTGATCTCAGCTCACTGCAACCTCTGCTTCCTGGGTTCAAGAGATTCTCTTGCCTCAGCCTTCTGAGTAGCTGAGATTACAGGCGTCTGCCACCACGCCTGGTTAATTTTTTGTATTTTTAGTAGAGACTGAGTTTCACTATGTTGTCCAGGCTGATCTAGGACTCCTGACCTCGTGATCCGTCTGCCATGGCCTCCCAAAGTGCTGGGGTTACAGGCATGAATCACCGCGCCTGACCACGTATATTAGTTCTTATATTCCCTTTATATATCTATCTTGTACATTTCCCCTATTTTTCCCTCTTTAGTCACGTTCTGGAGTTGGAAACTCGCCCTGGAGTGTTTCAACAGAGAAATTCCCATTGCTCATATTTCTCTTCGAAGAGGTTGACTGATCACAGCGTGGAGAGCTGGTGCAGGGGTCAAGATTGGAGGTGGGAAGGCCTGTGAGTGAGGCTTTGAAGCTGTCCAGGGCAGACATAGTGGTGGCTTGGACTAGGACAATGGCCAGGAGGGAGAGAAAATGAGGGATGCACAAATTATTTAGGCGTAGTCATGGTGGGGCCGGGTGTCAGTGGAGGAGGCTCTGTGGGGTGGAAGCGGATGCTAAGCGGATGCCATAGCGAGGCACGTGGAACTGCAAGGAGGGGCTGGAGTATGGAGGGAGATGCGGCCCTGGCAGGAGCACAGGACATGGCTGCCCCTGGGATCACACTTGGCGGATGGCCAGACAGCCAGGGCCCAGCACACAGCCTGGCACAGTGGCTGCGGAATGAGTGAAAGCTGAAGTTTTGGACCCTGAAAGGGGGAGGGAGAAGGAAGGGCAGGGCAGGAAGCACCAGGTAAGCAGCTTGACCACACTGTGCCTGAGAGTGCCTGGCAGTGCCAAGTGCCTCAGCCCCCGGCCGTGAACGATCATTTGTGAGCCTTCTGAGCTGCAGGTGGGCGACTGAGAACAGCCTCGGAGGCTAAGCCCCTGGCTATGGGGACGAGCCATGTATTTTTCTCTATGACTCACCGGCCCTGGGAACCACGATGTCTTCCATTGCCGAAGCTCCTCTATTCGACATGTGAGGCGGAGCTCACGCTAGGTGGCGCTCATAGGCGCTTTGTATTTTTCCCTTCCGTGACAAAGTTGGGATTCCTGCTGTGCTGCTAAACAAACGAAACCCTGATTTACTTAGTCTACACAAGTTACGAAGCTGATCTCAAGGGCTGTGCTGTTTTCAATTCTACCACGTGGCAACTATCCCTCCCGCAGCCTGGGAAACGGTAGGATTCCAAGACCAAATAAAGGCCCTCCTTCAACAACCCAGTCTCCATGGCAACCGCCAGGCGCCCAATAGTGCCCGACTCTGACCTGCGGGAGACCTCAGGCAAGTCATTTTGTAACCGTCCAATGGATTCGCCTTGCCCGCTGCACAGACGGAGCTGATTTATTAGGACACGGGAATTGCAACGGAGAAAGAGTAATTCATGGAGAGCCGGCTGTGCTGGAGACCAGAGTTTTTTTATTACTCTAATCAGTCTCCCTGAGCATTAGGGCGTCAGAGTTTGTAAAGATAATTTGTCAGGTAGGGGCTTTGGAAGTGGGACGTGCTGATTGGTCAGGTTGGAGATGGAATCCTAGGGGGTCGAAGTGAGTTTTTCTTGCTACTTTCTGTTCCTGAATTGGATGACAGAACTGAGTGAGCCAGAGTACCAGTCTGGGTGGTGTCAGCTGATCCACTGAGTGCAGGGTCTGCAAAATATTTCAAGCACTCATCTTACTTAGATTTTACAATAGTGATGTTGATCCCAGGAGCAATCTAGGGAGGTTCAGATTGTTGGAGTCAGGGGCTGCATGGCCTCCTAAAGGGTAATTTCTAGTCTTGTAGCTAATTTGTTATTCCTGCACCGGCAGATTGCTCCCCAGCAAGAAGGAGGTCTTTTCGGGAAAGGGCTATTACCAATTTTGTTTCAGCATCAAAACATCAACTGAATTCCTTCCCTAAGTTACTTTGGCCTATGCCCAGGAATGAATAAAGACAGCTTAAAGATTAGAAGCAAGATGGAGTCAGATAGGTCTGATTTCTTTCACTATCATAATTTCCTTATTTATAATTTTGCAAAGATGGTTTCAATTTAATCTCTCAGAACCTCAGTTTTCCTCAAGTGGGAAGTGGGGATAATTATTTCTCCCTTGTCCTGAGTTAAGACACATGGGAGAAAAAAGTCATAGAGTTCGTGGGGGAAGTAAGAGCAAACAGAAGCAGTACTGTCAGAGGCGTGTGAACCAGAGCAACTCCATCTTGGATAGAAGCTGGGTAAAATGAGGCTGAAACCTACCGGGCTACATTCCCAGATGGTTAGGCATTCTAAGTCACAGGGTGAGATATGGGGTCAGCGCAAGATACGGGTCATAAAGGCCTTGCTGATACAATAGCTTGCAGTAAAGAAGCTGACCAAAACCAAGAGGGCGACGAGAGTGACTTCTGGTCGTCCTCACTGCAACACTCCCACCTGTGCCATGACAGTTTACAAATGCCATGGCAATGTCAGGAAGTTACCCTATAAGGTCTAAAAAGGGGAGGCATGAATAATCCACCCTTTGTTTTGCATATAATCAAGAAATAACCATAAAAATGGATAACCAGGGGCTGCTCTGTCTGTGGAGTAGCCACTCTTTATTCTTTTACTTTCTTAATAAATTTGCTTTCACTTTCCTCGATGGCCTCATCCCAAATTCTTTCTTGCACGAGATCCAAGAACCCTTTCTTATGGCCTGGATCGGGACCCCATCCCTGCAACAAGGAAGGACAATACAGAGGAAACCCCTGACCCAAAGGGTAACTTTGGGTAAGCGGTGGGTTCCAGGAACACTACTGTATTTTATTAATAAAATGTTTTTATCAAAGCCTCTGGAACCCAGCCCTGCATTGCTACCTTGTTGGATTCCTCCAGCCACTCTTACAGAGCTCACTCCCCACCTGCTCCCATGGGTGCTGCAGGGAAGGCAGAGATAAAGGTGATGCTGTGGCTGTTCTTAGGTGCCTGCAGCCTGTAGGAATCTCCCTTGAGAGTGGGTCCTCCTTGGGCGCAGGACTGTGAATGACGTCCCTTAGGTCTCACAGTCAATGTGTGGGCCGTCTAGGGCTACATCCTGAGTGTTCTGACTTCAGCTCTCCAAGACAGAACAGGACTCCTGATACCTGGCCAGGATCTGTTAACACCTTGGCATTAGGCTGGCTGGTCCTGGTGAATGGAGGCCACAGTTTGCACTCCATCACGGAAATTTACAAGAAAGCAGAGTCCAAGTGCTTCCAGAAGTCACATGGCTTCCTGCAGGTCTAGGCCTTTGCAAAGCCATAACGGGAGTCATTGTCCACTTGGCGAGTCAGGGCCTCCTGGACAGGAACCATGTGAAGTACTTCTCCTTGAATAAAGTTCCCAAGAAGGGTATGCCTCTATGCACAAGGTTTGGTCTGTTTTTTCTTCTTAGGAGAGAGATACCAAGTGAGCTGGCTTTTCTTCGATGACTGCTCAGCTGGAAGTCAGGTTTGGCTGTGGCAGTTCTCAGCTGCCTGGTATCAGCAGCTCTCTCTTTCTCTTTCCAACAGGATCTCCCCACCAGGAAGTATAGCATGTGGCTATGAGCATGTGCTCTGAAGCCACATTGGGTTCAATTCCCAGCTCTACTTCTTGTTAAAGCTATGTAAACTTGATTAAGTGACTTAACTGTACTGTGCCTCAGTTTCCCCATCTGTAAATGGGTTGCTCTGAGAATTAAATGAGTTTATTTTGTAAAGTGCTAAGAACAGTGTCCTTTATATAATAATTGCTCTGTAAGTGTAGGCTATTCCGTGTCTCTTCCAGTTGTCTTACTTTGCCCTCTTGGTAGAAAAGCAATAGAGTGAGGGACACAAACCTTAATAAGGCAGCATGATAGCTGAAGCACTTTACGTATGTAATTTGTGAAGCTCTTAATATTCATACAAGGTAGACACACTCATCCCTATTTGGCTGATGAGTACACAGAGTCTCATTGTGGGGAAGTGACTCTCACAAGGTCCCCTCTGCTGTGGAGAAGCTTCTAAGACCTCAGCATCCCCAGTGAGGCATTCTCTTCTGACCTCCTTGTCTCCTGGCCCAAGCTTGCTGGGCCCTCAGCTGTCTCAGTTCACTCCTCACTCTAATCTGTCTGGTCTTGGAGTCAGGACAGTCACCAGGTGTACTAGAGTAAATACACTGCCTGCTCTAACAAATAACCTCTGCTTTCAACACTTCCGCACTGGAGATTTCTCACTCACATCACAGTTTAATGAAAGCCAGGCATGATGTGTGGGGAGAATCCTGTTCCACACAGTCACTCAAGGACCCAGGGTGGCCTTGCCACCCTTGCTACCCTACAGGGGCTCAGAGTGCCCCTCCGGATCCTCTGCATTTGGCCAGCCAACAAAGAAAGAGGGAGAGCATGGAGACTTGGAGGGCGGCCTGTGGGGAGAGACTGTCTGCTTCATCTGAATCTCACCCCTGTCCAGGAGACATGAAAGGCATGCTTGCTGAACTGAGGGGCTCATCATGGGGGAATCTGTAGGACACCTAACTCTGCCTGGGAAACGGGTAAGTATTCACCAAAAAGGGGACATCAGAGTCAGGTCTTAAAGAGTGAATAAGAGTTCTCTGGGTAAGGAGGGAAAGGCATTCTGGGCAGGAGGACTGACATGTGCAAAGACACATCAGTTAGGTGCCTGGCTGGCACAGATAGGACAGGTAAGGAAACAATATGCAGAGTCATGAGTGTGAGGTGGGGTCTGTGGGGAGGAGGCTGGAGAGGCAAGCAGAGCTGGAGTTTGGAGGTTTCTGTTCCTCCTTGCTTTCTGTGCTTTAAGTCCCAGTCCCAAGTTTTCCTCCCCAGGACAAAGATGTGAGGATCCTTCCCTTCTGTCCTCAGAAACTCTGATGTTCAGGGCATTTTAACCTGGAATGATCTAACCTGACCCTCACAGCAGCCCCAGTGAGGTGGAAAAGACAGATAATTATAGTCCCCATTACTTTTATTGTCTGATTGTTTATTAGGGGTTTATTTCAAAAGGTTGACTTTTGTTTATTGAAGTTGTGTATGGTAAACTTGCTAACTTCATCTATAGATGCCTTTGGATTTGCTCTGCAGACAATCATATTGTGTGCAAACAATCTGTTTTATTTCTTCCTGTTTTTATTTATTTTCCTTCCTTTATTGCATGGGGTGGGTGAGCGTCTCCAACAGAATGTAATCCCATTAATGCTAGTAGACATCCTTGCCTGTTTCCTGATCTCAGTGGGAAAACTTTCAGTATTTCACTATTAATTAAAATGTTTGCTTACTGCAGACTTTGAAAAGTAGGTACCTTTTATCAGATTAGATATTTCCTTTTGTACTAGACTGTTAGTACTTTAAAAATCATAAACTGATGTTGACTTTTATCAAATGCCTTTCCTCCATCTGGTAAGATAATCTTACAGATTTTTCTACTTATTGTGTTAATGAGATGATCATCAGTGCTTTCATCAGTGGTTCTCAACTGATGTCAATTTTTCTCTCTAGGGGACATTTGGCAATTTTGGGAGACATTTTTTATTAACTCAGCTCTGTGTGTGTGTGTGTGTGTGTGTGTGTGTGATTGGCATCTACTGCATGGAAGCCTGTGGTGTTGTTAAACATTCTACAATGCATAGAAACTGATCTCCACAACAAAGAATAATCCAATAGTGAGGCAGGACAATAGGTCTGGAGCCAGGGAACATAAGGCTACTTTGTACTTCAGCTATGACAGGAAATATCCTCTCCATAGAGTGTATCCCAGTAAATCACTTTGTGACTTTGCTTCATCCTCTTCCTTCATCCTCTTCATTTACATACTGCATATTACCAAGTAACCAGTGGAATCTTCTAGAGGTATTTAAACTCCCCAAAATTCTGTAATGGGGCCCCTGAGTCCCTATGCTCAGGCCCACTCCCACACTGTGGAATAAACTTTCATTTTCAATAAATGTCTTCATTCTTTCCTTGCTGTGTTTGTGTGTTTTGTCTAATTTCTTGTTCAAGACACCAAGAACCTGGATACCCTTCCTTGGTAACATATTTTGGCAAGCCAGCCAGGAGAAATTCCAGGAGAAGGTAGGCCCGAAGTTTGGGATTTATTTTTCTCCTTTTCCCTTTCCTTTCAGCTCCACTCAGGGGAATCTGTCTCTCTCTCTCTTTTCCTTTCCAACTTGAGAGCCTTGGTGGGCAGTGCCTAAACACAGGAGAAACTGCAGGTTTCTGGCCATGGTTGGTGAAACTAAGGGGTTTCCATGCAGAGGTGCCTAACTGTGACTGCCAGGTTCACTTAAGGGACCAGGGTCTTTTTTTTTTTAACCCCTTTCTTTCTTTTTTAGTCTTTTAGTTGCTGTTTCCTAGTAGCTCCTTGGAAACTGAGGACA